TGGAGCCCTACATGGGGCTCGATCCCAAGACTGCAGATCGTGACCTGAGCTAAAATCAAGAGTCAGACGCTTAAGCAACTAAGCCACCCAGATGCCCCAAGAGCTAGTATCTCTAATATATAAAGGGCTCTTACAAGTAAATAAGAGAAAAATCATTAAAAATTTCATAAAGGACATGAATATGTTCTTTTTAAACTCTAAAATATTCATACTTTTTGAGCTTCCAATTATAATTCTAGAAAATTATTCCAAAACACTGATTCTCAAAGTGTAGGACTTAGACCAGCAGCATTTACTATCACCTGGGAATTTACCAGCATTACAATTTCTGAGCCCTACTCCAGAACTACTGTATTGAGCCATCTGGACTTAAAAAGGCTTTTTAATGGAAGGTTTATAAATTATGGATTAACTTACTCAGTAGACATCAGACCATTAGGATTTTTCTCTGTTCTCGTGTGAGTTTTGGTAAGTTGCATTTTTCTAGGAAATTGTCAATTTCATTAAAGTTTTCTAATTTAGCTGTTGTTCATAACATGCTCTTATCTTTTTAACGCCTGTAGGATCTGTAGTGGTACTAGTTTTGTTTTTGATATTTGTAATTTGTGCCTTCTCTTTTTTTCTTGGTCAGTCTTGTTTAATCTGTTTGGGGATCAGATTCTTGAATTTGCAGGTATATGTCTTATGCCAAGTTTGCAATGTTCTACACAGTTATTTCTTTTTTATTTTTGTTTATTTTTTTAAATATTTTATTTATTTATTTGAGAGAGAGAGTGCACAAGCACGGGGAGCAGCCAAGAGAGAGGGAGAAGCAGGCTCCCCACCAGGCAAGGAGTCCGATGCGGGGCTCCATCCCTGAACCCTGGGATCATGACCCCAGCTGAAGGCAGATGCTTAACTGACTGAGCCACCCAGGCGCCCCATTTACTTCTATTTTAGCACCACACTTTTTCTCCTCTCCTTCTGAGACTCCAATGATATGAACGTTAGAGCTTTTGTTATTGCCCCATATTTCTGTTAACTTCTTTTCAGTCTATTTTCTCTCTGTTGTTCGGAGAGAGTAATTTCTACTGTTCTGTCCTCAAATTCATAGATTCTTTCCTCTGTCATATTTATCCTGCTGCTGAGTCCCTCTGGTGAGCTTTAAAATTTCAGTTACTGTATGTTGTCAATTAAAAAATTTCTATTTGGTTTTTTTTTACATCTTCTATTTTACTGAGGTTTTCTAACTTTTCACTAGATTCAACAATGTTCACAATCACTCATTGAAGCCTTTTTATGAATGCTTTTTTTTTTAACAATTTTTGTCAGTTTTACAATCTTTGTCAGATAATTCCAACATCTCTCTTATCACGGAGTTAGTGTCTGTTGATCGTCTTTTCTCACTCAAGTTGAGAGTTACCTAGTTCTCGATATGACAAATGACTTTTAGTCTTGCCCTAGCAAGTTTGGGTATCACATTGTGAGGCTCTGGATCCCACTTAATCTTTTTTATAGGCAGTTACCCTGCTTAGGTATAGTATGCAGCTCCAAGAGGGGGTGGATGGTCACCCCCCTCCTGCTGAATCTTACCAACAAGGAGGGGGAGTTTGCCATGGGAGGAGGAGGAGGCAAGTGGAATGTTGCTCTGGCTTCATTGCTAGAAGTTCAGTCTCAGCTGAATTCTGCTGACAGTAGCTGATGTTCTCTGGGTGAGGAAAGTGGAGAGTCAACTAGCACCCCCTCACACTGCCTCATTCTGTCGCTGCTGCTAGATGGGGGTGGAAATTCAGTTCCCTGTTTGGTTTTACTAATGGGACCCCTGTGGGGTCCCCTGCCTTGCTGGTGCCACATGGGTCCAGAAGTCTTGCTCACCACCTGGCCCTGCTGACACCATGAAGGGAGGATGGTTTTTCTTTTTGTGTTTGGCTACAGTAAGGTGGATATTATCAAAATGATTTTCTATTCAGTGTGCCACTCTTTTCCTGGTCCTTTGACTACAGGGAACGGGTTTCTTGGGGCTTTTTTGTTGGTACCTATTTTTGATACCATGTTGCACACCGCTTAGACACCCCTTCCTGGCTATATGACAGGTAAGAAGAAAACCCAGAGAATCACAGCCACATCATTCCTCAAGTCCCAAAGGCCCTAGCCAGTCTGTTCTCTTCTTTTTTTATCTTTGAGTATTCCTTTGTTTGTTGTGCTCCATCCAAGGTTTTCAATTCTAAGAGGGAGAAAGAGCAAGGAATGGGGCCAATCCAACTTATCTGGAACCAGAAATACCATTAGTTTTAATATATTTTCATTATTGTTCAGTTTAAAGTATCTTCTAATTTTCACTGGGATTTATTCTCTAACCCACAGGATATACAGAAGTGCTTTGCTTCAGATGAAACGTAATGACATATGGAATTTACTTTAAAAAATACATAAGGAGAAAGTGGGTGAGGGCATAGATGAAATATAAATTGGTCAAGACATCATTTTAAAAGCTGGGTGATCAGGCGCCTGGGTGGCTCAGTTGGTTCAGCGACTGCCTTTGGCTCAGGTCATGATCCTGGAGTCCTGGGATCGAGTCCTGCATCAGGCTCCCTGCTCGGCAGGGAGTCTGCTTCTCCCTCTGACCCTCCCCCCTCTCATGTGCTCTCTCTCTCTCATTCTTTCTCTCAAATAAATAAATAAAATCTTTAAAAAAAAAAAAAGAGCTGGATGATCAATTCGTGAGAGTTCATTATACTTTTCTGTCTACTTTTGTATATGTTTAAATTTTTCTGGAAAAAAAAGGATACTGATTAATTTCCAAACACTTAGGAATTTTCTACTTACTCTTTTGTTACTGATTTCTAATTCAGTTCTCTGTAATTAGAGGGTATCTCTGTATTACTTCAATCTACTGAAATGTACTAGGACTTGCTCCATGCCCTTGCATATGCTTTCCATTTTAGTTAATGTTCCTGTATTAAGAAAACAAAAATGTGTATTCTGCCGGTTGGCCACATGTTCTATATATGTTAGTTTGGTTAAGTTTGTTAATTGTGTTGTTCAAATCTGTTATACCCTTATAAGTTTTGTCTGCTTTTTCCATTAGTTATTGAAGAGCTTGTACTAATAATCTCCCACAATAATGACAGATTTGTGTATTTCCCTATTTAGTTTTGTCAGTTTTTGCTTAATGTATTGTGAGGTTGTTATTAGGCGCATACAAATTTTAGATTATCTTCCTGTTGAATTGACCCATTTATCTCTATCTCTAGTAACATTACCTCTAGGGATACTCTTTGTGTTTACTTTGTCTGATATTAGTAGTTATACCAGATTTTTTCAGTAGGTGTTCACATGGCAGATCTTTTTCTAGCCTTGTCTACTCTTCTTTGTCCTAATATTTAAATATATCTCTTGTAAGGTGCTTATACTTGGGCCTTTCTTTCTTTTTCTCTTCCTTCCTCCCTTCCTTCCCTTCCTTCCTTCCTTAAAAACAACCTTGACAATCTTTGGAGTATTTTAGTTTGTTTAACGTAATATAGCTACCATTTTACTCTCATTTTCTATTTTTCTATCATCTTTTGACTTCTTTAAGTTCTCTATTTTTTACTTCTGACTTACTTTATCAACTACATTTTAATGATTCCATCTACTTATAGACTTGATAGCTATACATCTTTAAACTTTTCTTTTGGTGGTTGTAAAGATCTCGGCATTACCTTGATTTACTTTAAATTTGTACACTTACCTAAAAATTTCAGATTTTTTCCTTAGATAGATTCCTGGAAGTTGGACACTTGACCTACGGCATGAATATTTTAAGGTGTTTGGGACATATGCTCAATCTCTCTTCCAGAAGGGTTATGTCAATTAATATTCCCATCTAAAAGCGTTCTTGCTTTATTGAGTCATCATTAGATAATTAGATAACTGTGCCATGATTAGATAATCATTGCTTTAAAAATCTGTTTACTCGGTGAGAAAAAAAAGTAATTTACAACTCTTTGACTACTTCTGAGGTTGACTTTTTATTGCATATTTATTAATCAAATAACTTTTTGCTTCTATGAATAGCTTATTTATATCCTTGGACATTTTTCAATTGGAATATTAGTGTTTTTCTTATCACTTTACAAGAACTCATTTGAACTAGGAATAATTCTTTGTCAATTGTTGAAAATGATTTTTCCTTGTTTAACGCTTACTTTCTAAGAATCTTCCTCACTAACCGCTAGAGGAGGGGATGAAAAGAAAAAAAAATATTCTGGCTGGAGCTCAAGACACAAGAACAGGCAGTGAGTCAAGGATTTTGCTTCTCTTAAAACTATCAAGTGTCTGTAAGAACTGATTACACAACATTTTTCCTCTAAGGTCGTCAAAGTTAAAAATAAAGAACGCAGTTCATGGCTTTTTAAGAGAGCTGTTTCTGTTGCCAGTTTGCATAAGCACTTAGTGATCATCTTGTTCATCATAAAAGTTGATAAGACCATTAAATATAGTTTATTAGCATGATATTCTCTATAAGAAAATGAATTATTTTCTGATGGACTTTATAATCCTTTGGCTTCAGTGTTAGATTGGGCAAGGGAGCAAGGTGAATCCATCTCAAAAATACTAACCTTTATGAGCCATGGAAAGAAGAAACAAGCTGTCCAGTGCACCTTGGTGACTGCGAAGGAAAAGCCCAGAGGATGAGCATAGAGTGCTTCAGGCGAGATTGCAGGAAGGGGGTGAGGGAAGTATGCTTAGTTATGTGTGCCCCAGGCAGGGATGAGTGGAGTACCAGCAAACCTACCTTGCTTTAGCTTTAGAAGAAAAATCTATTGTTCCAATGTTTTCAGTCTTAAATATAAAACTGGGGAAAAGGTTTCATTTATTTAAATAGTTGGACATAAAGCAGAAACCTTTACAAAAGTATGTGTAAAGTACAGCAATGTATTTAAGCACATTTTTGAGACTGTCTTCATAAACAAAAAAGGTATTCGGGTTTGAAAAAGAAAATGAACATTAGCGAATGTGTCACAAACTCATCTACTTACCGTCGTACTGCAGAAATCCATTTGTATCTGTCTCTATCTCAGACTCTGGCTGGTAAAAAGAACAAAGCACCCATCAAAACTGTGCAGTGCAGAAATAATACAACTATAGAATGAAGAGGTGATAAATTTTTACTAAACGCTTTGGATGAGGAGAGTAAATAAAACCAGAGCCGTACCAATAAGTAATGCCATCTAGTGGATAAGGGACATTACTGCATGGAGCCTACCTTCTACAAAAACTCTATCACTCAGCAAAGGCTTTCTGGATGTAATTTCATTAACTTTGCTACTAGAACTTTGTTGTGTTAAATGAATTATCTAAGATGTTTTTATAGATACCTTAAAGAAATCATCCTGAGATATGATACTGCAGTTTGGGAGGTGTTTCTGCAAATTCTTAGCCAGTGTTGTCTTCCCGCCATTTGTCACACTGAACAGAAAAAGGAAAAGAAAAAAAAATGAGCATACCAAGAAGGGAGGCACATTTAATGTAAAACATTTTATTTATTTTTATTTTTTTATTTTTAAAAAAGATTTTGTCAGAGGGAGAGAGTGCGCACGTGCGCACACGCATGCATAAGCAGGGGGAGCCCCAGGCCAGAGGGAGGAGGCAGGGAGCCTGCCACGGGACTCGATCCCAGGACCCTGGGATCATGACCAGGGCTGAAGGCAGACGCTTAACCAACTGAGCCATCCAGGCGTCCCTAAAACATTTTAAAGTGATCTTAGAAAAAAGATATTTAAAACAATATGTAATACCTAAGAAGAAATTATTTCTTTCATAGATATGTTAGTAAGTAAGTAGATCTACTGTAATAGATGAGGAGAAATAAACTGGAGAGGATGGAGGAGAAAGGTCACTAAGTACCCGGCAAGTAAGCTGGGTAATACTAAGTCTTAAAATTCCAGCTACTGTGTGGGAAGCAAAAGAATGTTTCGTCTATACTGAACCATTCCCAGGGCTTGTGTGCAACACTGAGCATATGAGTAGCACGTTTTAGTGCAAGTCCCTACAACTGCATGTGGTCACTGTGATTTTGTTTCAGTGTGCGGTGGCGAAAAATGGAGGACTGGCTTATGACAAGCCACGTACTACGCATTCACATCTCCGCTGTGGTGCTCCCTTTCTCCTTAATCTTGCTTCACTTTGGGCCAAATGGGAGGCCCCCTGAAGCTTATCAAATGGAGTCAGTTACTTGTCCCTCCTGGCTGGCTTGTGACATTGGGGAGAACGGGGGTCCCCTGTGTACCTAGTTTTCCAGCGTCTAGCACCACACATAGCACCTGAGAGGTGGTTCTGCAGTCAGTCATTCACTCAGAGCTTTTTTTAACCCAGGGCTGCTGCCTCAGAGGGCCTGGGGACACATCTGTGGACTTTGCCAACTTGAATGGGAAAGAAATTACATCTTTATTTTTATTACATTCTAGCAGAATTTTAACTTTTCCTTTCATTATAAGTAAAAAACATCAGTAGTATTAACAGTACCCATGGCTTTGTCACCACTAGAAATCATAGATATTTTCATATCATGGTGCAAGGGGAGCAGATATCTTGGAGCATGATCGATATTCATTATTATTTCAAATCGATGGCAGTTTTTAGACCCACCCCTGGACAGTGTTATTTAATAAGTTAACCATGTATATATCACAAAGCAACAATCTGTTTTTTAAAATAATTTTATAACTATATTTCAACATAACTGGTTTCCTCTATATTCCTGTATTTTATTTTATGCATTTAAAACCATTACTCTAGGGGCGCCTGGGTGGCTCAGTCGGTTAAGAGTCTGCCTTCAGCTCAGGTCATGATCCCAGGCTCCTGGGATCGAGCCCCACATTGGGCTCCCTGCTCAGCGGGAAGCCTGCTTCTCCCTCTCCCACTCCCCCTGCTTGTGTTCCTGCTCTTGCTGTCTCTCTCTGTCAAATAAATAAATAAAATCTTAAAAAAAAATAAAATAAAACCATTACTCTGAATCAAGACTTTATCATACCACTGAATGTTCACGGCACAAAAAAAGTTAACTGCACATTTATATGCAGGAACCTGTACTTAATCCCAGATGATACATTGCAATGTATTTATAATCTAGAAAAGAAACTAATATTCATCCATCAAAATTGTTTACTGGTTGTAATTCAGTTATTACCTAAATACCTTATGCCTACAAAGTACAAGGAACTTGATTCAAAACTTTTTTTCATTTATTTTTTAAAAGATTTTATTTATTTATTTGACAGAGGGAGACACAGTGAGAGAAGGAATACAAGCAGGGGGAGTGGGAGAGGGAGAAGCAGGCTTCCCGCTGAGCAGGGAGCCCGATGTGGGGCTCCATCCCAGGACCCTGGGACCGTGACCTGAGCTGAAGGTAGCCACTTAACTGACTGATTCACCCAGGCGCCCCGTAAAGTTTTTTTTTTTTTTTTTAAGATTTTATTTATTTATTTGAGAGAGAATGAGAGAGAGAGGGAACACATGAGAGCGGGGAGGGTCAGAGGGCGAAGCAGACTCCCCGCTGAGCAGGAAGTCCGATGCGGGACTCGATCCCGGGACTCCAGGATCATGACCTGAGCCGAAGGCAGTCGCCCAACCAACTGAGCCACCCAGGCGCCCAAGTTTTTTTCATTTAAACTTAGAATACACAATTGGATAGGATATGGGCGATCTCCTTGAAAAGATGTAAGCGCCTGGGTGACTCAGTCAGTTTAGCTTCTGGCTCTTGATTTTGGCTCAGGTCCTGATCTCAGGGTCCTGGGAGCCAGCAGGCATGTCAACTCAGTGGGGAGTTGGCTTCCTCCCTCTCCCTCTCCTTTTGCCCCTCCCCCTGCTCAAGCTCTCTCTCTCTCTCTCTCTCTCTCTTCCCCGCCCCCTCAAATAAATCTTTTTTTTTTTTTTTAAGAAAACACAGGGAAGTGGGTGGGTTATTACCCTTTGTCTTGAGAAAATACTGGTATAAAATTTCTCCCTTTTAACAAGAACGTCTGTAATCCGTACTGAGTTTCCATAGTTCAGACACTGAGCTTTGGTTTAAAAGAGAGAGTAAACAGGGCTAACTTTTTGAGCAACCTGGCCAGAAAATGTGTCATTTTCTAGACTTACCTCTTGCAGACGATACAGTCACACCAATCGTCTCACTGACTTAGCTGGAGACAATGAGAAGCAAGCACTCGAGTGTCACAGACTTGGGAGGAGAGAGACCAGACAGAAGGTAGTACAGAGCAGGGGGACGGGAGAGGGGTTTAACGAGAATTTAACAAGTCAGAATGGCGCAAGTTCAAGCCTACGATCTATACTTGGAATCCTGCTCAGGACACCTTAAGACTAACTCTTCTCTTTCAGCATGCTCATAAGCACCATGCACCACCAAGCTCGCGACCACCCTCATGTGCCCTCCAACCTCGGGGCAAAGGTTTATCTTTGCATGACAGGTGCATGCTTTATCTTAGGACATGGGGAAGGAAAATGAGTAACTACTTGGGGCCGCTTCCTTCTTTGTTCACAACACCCGGAATAAATGCACAAGTCCTGGTCCGTTTGCTTTTTTATGTGCCAAGAGACAGGCAGGGTGAGTGTATTTGGAATAGAACGGGGGCTTGAGGAGACGTTAAAAAGGCTGTCTGCAGGCACGGAAGAGGCAAATCCATTCTGTAGCAGGTAGATATTAATATTACCATTTTACAGTTGAGGAAACTAAGGACTGAAAGACTATATACTCATAAAACTTGCCCAAGGTAACAACTAGCAAGTAATGAGGACGGGATACAAAGTCTAACTCCAAAGCCCATGGATCTTTTTTTTTTTTTTCTCAAAGCCCATGAAACTTACATATTTTAACATCACAGAATACTGTGAGAATCTGATAAAGATTATATGCCCCTTTCCCAGAAAAATGAACATCTTCACACATGCATTCCATTTTTTAGGAGGATCTTGAATGACGCTGGAATCCTTTGGAACCCCTGCTATTCCTTGACGTCTTAACCGAATGACCACTTCATAGTCTAGGAAGGGGTACGTTTACCAGGAAGGTACAACACTGAGTCTGGAGGAAGGAAGAAAGGCAGGAACAGAGGTCACTGTGGCTGAGTGTGGTAGGTGTTTCCCAGAAGCAGCACTAGAATGAAATCCTGGCCCTCGCTGAGGAAGAGTCAGTGAAGAGGGGGCTTCCTTGGGGAAGTGTGGTTAGCACCTCATGCACAGTGGCAAGAAAGTAGGAGGCAGGTTTCTACACTTGGAACATGGAGAAGAAGGGAATGTTATTCCTACATACGCAGAATGAAAGTTGGTTTGGATGCTAGAGTAGACGTGGTAGCTGCCTCCACTCTACCCTTGTTTCTGAGGTCTGGTTTGGACTGACCCCACTGTCAGTTCCAGAGCAGGGCCCAGGACCCGCTGGTATCCCCTTGTACCCAAAAAGCGCAGCCAACTCTAGGATGAATCCAAATGGAGGAAGACACAAAGAAGAGATGGAAAGACATGGAGTGTTTGGTGATACCACTGAGCTCCTGTATCAAACCTTCCCTGCAGCCTACATGGCCCTGAAGCTAGTACATTTCTTTTACTATTTACGGATGGTCTTCATATACGTGGATATTCAGATTTTGTTCTAGATCTGGTAACCCACTGCATATTGTTCACTAGGTGAGAGAATAATTAAACATTTCTCTTTTTTTTAAAGATTTATTTATTTATTTGAGAGAGCGAGAATGAGAGAGAGAGTACATGAGAGGGGTGAGGGCCAGAGGGAGAAGCAGGCTCCTCGCCGAGCAGGGAGCCCCATGTGGGACTCGATCCCAGGACTCCAGGATCATGACCTGAGCCAAAGGCAGCTGCTTAACCAACTGAGCCACCCAGGCGCCCAATAATTAAACATTTCTGAAGAAGATTCAACTGGTGGAGAGGTACCTAGGAAAGGTTAAGAGGGGGAGGCTGGAATTAGGGAATGAGGGCCTGATTTAGGAGGGTGGCAGCGAGTGCAGAAGGGAAAGCATGTCCAAGAGAAGCAATGCAGAGAAAAAGAGTACTTTGGTTCTGGTTAGATGGGAGGAAGACGAGGCAGAGTTCTGACACTGGATTCATTCCCTTTTACCTCTGATTACTCGCTATAGTAACATAATACAACAATACAGTGATCTCCCCCAAGTCACAAACCTTTAATTTTAACAGTCTCAAATATTTCATTCATTGGAACAGGGCTAGTGTGAATGTACTCAGAAGAAAGAGGAACACAACAAAGTAGCAAAACAAACAGTCCTTTGGAGCTGTTGTTGGTGTCTTACTCGCATGCATGCATACCTCCGGTACCATGGCGAGGGCGACCCTGTAATTTCGGACACTTTTGAGAGGGAGAGGGGCACCCAGCTCCTAAATACGCCGGGGCAGTCAGGGTAATAAGGATAAAAGGTGTCCGGTGTCAACTCCGGAAAAGACATGGTAAGGCAGGCAGATTTTGCTTACTGACACACCCTGTTTCTCTGTTTAGAGGAGACTCTCCCATCTCCTGTTGCCATTTATGCAGCTAGCACTCCCTCCCCTGTTTTTTATTTGCCAGTGGCCTGCTCTCTTCCTCAGGACTCAGGAATTCTGACCCTCTCCATCCTCCACCACATCCACAGGAAAACACCCTTTGGCCATCCTCAGTATCTCCACCAGCCGTTTGTAGCAACATTACTCACCCACTGATTCCAATGACAAATGTTTTCATAATTAGCTTTGAAAATCACGTCTTCCTAAAATTTCCTAAAATTAAAAAAACAGAACAAAACAAATCGAATGCTTATCACTGAGATGTCCAGAGAAAGACAAAAAGACAAAAAGACTAATAGAAAGAGTCCTAAGAGCCAGCTGAGGGGGAAAGATGACCATGATCTCGGGGTCATCTCCTACTCCTGGATTAGCCACACTCAGTAGAAGGGCTTAAGGTACCAGCTGCTCTCTGCGAGACTCCATGGCTAAATCCAACAGGCCAAAGTCTCAGAGAACACACACTCCAGAGTCTCATAACTCTGAAACTCAAAAGAGTTTCAAGATTCAATCACCTGGAGATGATCCACTTATTTCTCCAATGCCAGGGAACCCCACAGAGCTTGCCTCTCTCTCCTACTGAAATGGGGGAAAACATCACTGCCAGCCAGAGGCAAAAGGAAGTTAATTCCCTTTAAGGGTACTATTTCCTCACTCAAAAACCTAAGTCCAGGGTCAGCGTAGACAAACTTTTTCCGAAAACGGCCAGGTAGTAAATATTTGAGGTTTTGTGGGCCCAGAGGCAAACTGAAAGTTATTACGTAGGTACTTATGTAACAAGAGAGAAAACAAAATTTCCACAACGTTCTTGAGGAAAGTCGAAACATTACAACTGAGTACAATTTTGTTGTTGTTGTTGTAATAGCCGTCTACTAATGAGAAGAATGGAATTCTTTTCTTACTGGGATAATACTCCTCTTACTGGATTTCAGAGTTAGTGTTCTCAATCAGAAAAGTGACTGCAAATGTTCAGGCTGAGGGCCAGGTTTTAGCCACAGGCCATTGTTTGCTGACTCCGGATCTGGGGGTGGGGTGGGGGGGGTGGAGGGCAGTTTCACACAGGGCCCCCAGAAGTTCAGTAAAGCAGTCCTATGGATATTCTAATGAGCCATTTTCACCTCTGTATGTGAAAAGGTGAGGCTTGGCTGGAGGGAACCTCAGAACAGTGGTTCCTGAGGGTTGCCTGACCTAAAGCTGCTCTTTATTCCAGACTGCTCTGGTTGGGCGATGAGGGGCCGCTGGGGTGAGTAGCTCCTGAGCTGGAGACCCCCAGCAGCCCTCCCAGTTCCTATCCCTGACCTGAGTCCTAGCAAGTTAATTTCTTTCTTCTTTCCAGCCTGTTAAAAAGCACTTTATTACCAAGAGCAAAGAAAGGATGCTGCACATGTGTTGGCTTAATTGTGAGGCTCTCATGTATAATGGATGCCATTTTTACTGATGTATTAGTAATGGTTGAGCACACTGAATGGCAAGGACTACGGGTCCCCCTGCTCCATGCCACATCTGTGCACACAGGGAGGATATTGTATCAATTACATAGCATGCAAATAACGAGTGTGGTTGTGGCACTGGAAAAAAGACGCTTGAAGAGGTTATTTGGGTGGAAACTAGCAATTCCGAAATGAAGAGTGAGAGAGAGTCAAGAACCTACTTATAAAATTGCTTGGGTTCAGGAGGGAATTCCCAGTCAAATGCAAGTTTTTACCGAAACAGGAATCCTCAGTTCTATATTAGTTAGCTAACAGAGCTATTACGCAAGACAGTGTTTGGATAAATGTCGGGCACAGTCTATTAGCCCTAAACGGGTGGCAATGTGGTGAGAGGGTTGGGGAATTGGGAGAAGCTGAAGCAAGACAGGTGCTGGGGTGAGGGTGGGCCTAGCAATCCCAAAAGTCATTTATTTCAAAAACCTCGTTGTTTGCACAGGGCAGCACCAGATGAACTCCAAATTCGGGACTGGAATTGTCTACCTCCACACCACTTTGTGCTATTACACCTCCTGTTGCCCTCTGAGAGGACTATTTTAAAACCACACTTAAAAACCTGCAACCAAGAGTTGCCAGACTCCAAATACATGCAGCAGACTCCATGAAGCAGAGACAAGCTTGATCAACTACAAACTCAATCACTGGATGTCTCCAGAGAGACAACCGTTTGGACTTTGTAGTCTCATCAATCCGGGGCATCTGATGACTTGGAATATATTCCACCACCAAGCTTGTGGGATATTTATGTACTCTATTCTCCCAGTAAGTGCCAAGCGTTCCTCAACAGCAGAGTTATTTGCATAGGGGGAAGAGAACTAACTAAATTCGTCAAGGGCAAACCCCAAAATGAACATTTTAATTTCTTTTTTTCCCTAAGTGAGATAGGTTGTCGAGTCCTTTTTTCATGACTTGTATGTGCTTATTATATGGATTCCACTACTAAACAGGGTACATTTTGGACTCTAAACTAAAATGGTCAGCGGTGGTATGTGCAGAAATCAGATTATAAGGAAGACAGCAGCTTCTCTAATACAAACGGACGAGAGCATGCTAACGAATTGTGCTTTTCAATGCACCTAAAGAGCAGTCTGGTATTTTTACACCAGTGAAATGTTTCAGGACTTCTCACTCATTTGCTTTATTCAACAGATATTCTGATTATCTTCTTCCACACACCAGGGAAGTCCTTTCCTACTATTGTTTAAACGTTGCTCCCTTTTAGTAAACAGAAATCTCCCACGGTTAGAATTTCTGAATACCTCAACCCATGCCCCTTTCCCGTGGAACCACTTTTATCTTTCACTGACCCCTAACAAAAACTTTCAAGCTTCATTTTAGATAGACTCTCATGTAAAGTGTTTTTTCAACGTTTCTTCCCTCAAGCATACAATTGGTCTATAACACGGTGCTATTTCGAACTGAATGCACGCTGCATTTCTTGTTTGCTCCCGCCCTCACCTCGCCTTTGGAGAATCAATCCGCTACGTCAGGGGGTCGGCATTTCGCTGTGAAATGCCAGATAGTCAACGTTTCAGGCTTCGAGGGCAGCAGCTCAGCTCTGCTGTGAAGAGAAAAGCGGCCACAGGCAGTACATAAGCAAGGGAGCGCGGCTGTGCTCGAGCGAAACTTTATGGACACCGAAATTGGAATTTCTTAGCATTTCCACGTGCCACAAAAACCTTTTGGTATCTTTTCAACCATTTAAAATGGTAAAAGCCGTCCTCAGTTAGCAGGCCGTTCGTTCAATTAACAGGGGGCAGGCGGGTCGTTGAGTTAGTCCACCCTAATACGGGTGGAATAAAAGCTTGCCTCCTCCCGTACGGATCAAGACCTGACCCCAACCCTGGTGACTTCCCTCCACAGCCCGTACCATCTCTTGGAGGGAGTCTCCCATTTTAAGGATCATTACGGGGCGTTAAAAGCACCACGCCGCCCCGTACACACACTCCTTGGCAGGCCATCTATCGGCCCGCTTAGGGTGGTACGAGTCCCCGCAAGGCTTGCAAGACGCAACCCGGTTCAGGCTCCAGCGCAGCCACACATCGGGAGCACCTCCAGGCCTCCGCGAGGCTGCGCAGCGCGGCCGGATCACGCAGGTACTCACCGGGCGCCAGTTCGAGCCCTCCCAAGCAAAGCGGCAGAAGCGCGGGCCGAAAGTGCGCCTGTCGCTGACCCCCGAAGCTCGCTGGCCTAGAGGCTCACAGCCCCTCCCTCCGCGCCCCCACCGGGTCGGGGGCGGCCCAGGTAGAGGACGCCAACCTAGGGATCCGTCCCACCCGGGCGGGACGCGGAGTGGGCCGGGGCGGGGCGAGGCGAGGCGGGGCGGGACTCCGGCGACCGTGGTCCCGCGCGCGCGCCCTCGCGGGGTCCGGCCCTTTCTCGTCGGGGGCGCGCGCGGCCGGGTCCGCCCCGGCGCGAGCCTGCGGCGCCCTTCCTCGGCTCCGGCTGGTTCAGCCGCCGCCGCCGCGCGCGCCGCCGTGCGCGCCGCCCGCGCTCCCGCCGCTCTGAAGCGGCCAGCCGGGGAGCCAATTAGCGCTCGGCGAGACGGCGGCCACTTCCTCGTCGCCCGGCCGCGCGCTCGGGAGGCTCAGGCGGCCGCGCGGCGGGGCGGGGCATTGCGCCGAGCCGGTCTGCCTGCGTCCGCTCGTCCGACGGCCAAGGGTGGGCGCAGGTCCTTGAAGGCACACCGCTGCGAACCGGACAAAAAGAAACTTTTGGGTCCCCGGAGTGCCGGCTGGCGGGGCGTTCGGTCGGCTTTTCGTGCGTGGTCTTGAGGCTCAGCCGCTCCAGGAAGCGCGATGTCGAAGCCGCCACCCAAACCGGTCAAACCAGGTAAGGGAGGCACTCACAGGGTTCCCCTGGCTGCCTTGGTGCCCTGCGCTTCCTCTGCCACTTGGCAGGGCTGACCACGCACGTACCCGGCCTGGAGCTTCGCTTTCGGGAGCCGACCCGCCGGGATGGGTCGCTTTGTTGGTTCGCTGCAGGGAGGGATCGTTTTGGATAGCAAGAGGATTTCGAGGATTTTTTATTTTAAAGGGGAGTCGCCCTCGATTTTGCAATATTGTCATTCGCTGCAACTTTCTAGTGGATGTGATAGCTACGTCCCATTGAATCTTGACTGGAAGACAGGGACATTGATCCCCTTAGGGGGGAAAATAGATACATGCTTTGAAATGGTCTTTTGGCCACTTCCTCTTTTTTTTTCTTTCCCGTGTGTGTCATTGTCAAGTTCGAGTTCTTGACCGGCCAGAGCAAACGGGAAGTGCGCTGTTTGCAGGGTGGGGTGGGTGAGCGAGTCTCCTATGGGACTTTGGAGAGGAGCCGCGTTTGAAATTTCCCTCGGGATCTTGGGAAAAGCATTTGGGAAAACGGTACGCGAGCTCGCGGCGAGAAAAATCTAGGCTGCGGCAGAGTAATCTCGGCTGTTGCTCTTCGGGAGTGTCACTTTATCATTCAGTACAGGTCCTTTGCCCCTGCTTCCCCAGTGATTTTGCCGTGTTAAACTGGATTACTAAATCCCTCAAAGCGCTGTTCTTGGCCGATAGTCTGTTCATTTTTTATTCTATTCTTAGCATATTTTCTGTGATTGGGAGACACGAGAATGTAAAAGGGACTGACGTATTTCAATTCAGTACTGTAACAAACTCGTGCATTCATTGGTGAGTAATTACGGGAAACGTAGGAAGTGGAAGATATATGGCTTTGATACACTCTGGGGCGTTTTCTTCCAATCTCCTGTAACTTAAGTATAGCACGAGCTGAAATGTATCCATTTACGTCAAATTTCCAAGTAACCTTGGTTGCAGGCACTACACCTTTCATGATTATCTAGTTTTCTTTCTTTGCCATCATACAGTGGCGGTTTCAAATCATTTTATATGAAAATTATGTGCATATATATGACAGTCATTCACTGAGGACTTAGATTTTTTTGGTGGGCTGGTTGTGAAGGAAGTTGCCGGGACGTTGGTTTTGCTCTGAGCAAAGATGGGGTGTGGCTAGTATTGGGTTCTGTCCTTCTTTATAAGTGGAATCTGATGAAGAGTTTGCATTTTAAGTGCACGTGTAGGAGGTAGCAGCTTTCTAAATTCCGATGTAAATCAGACCTCAAGCATCCAACAAAACAGAGTTGTTCTTTGCTGGCTAAACAAAGTACTTTATTTTAAAGAATGTCCTGAGAAGTTAGTTATTCAAGAGGTTTTTCATCTCTCGAGACTTTAAGCGGTCTGTGCTGCAGCTGGAGGGACATTGACTGTGGTGTGCAAGTGTGTACATGAGTACTCGTGTATATACCATTTGGTTGAAGGATCATACTGTTACTAGTTGGGGATACGCTCCCAGAAACCATTTTTGTGGTTGGACACCGCTGCTTTCTCCTGCTCTTCAGCAAATCAGAAAGCAAAGGGTTGAAAATATCTGCCATTTTAGGGACAGCTTTGACTCCACACTGATTTATAAATGAGATCCAAACTCAAGGTCACCATAGAAATCGGTTTGTTAGTTTATGAATTTACAATGAGAAGTATTACTTTCAATCCGACTTGAAACATTGGGTAGCGTGGTTTAATTGAAAACAAAACTGTCCTATTATAGTACTGGTCCACATTTACTGTGGGCTGGGCACTGATGTAATCACTTTACACGTGTTAACTCATTTGCTCCTCAAAACAATCCTGTGAAGTCAGTACCATTATTGTTCCCATTGCACAGGCTGGGAAATTGAGGCAAGGCACAGAAAGGTAGGGAGGAGCAGGTGGGAGTAGCACCCAGGTAGTCTGATTTAAGGATCTGCGTTCCTACTCATAATGCTGTTCTGCCTTACATCACCGTGCACCATTCACATGCGTGATCTTGTGTATTTTAGAGCTGGGGGGTGGAAGTGGAAAGGTAAGTGCCTCTTGTCCGCAGTCAGATCTTCCCGTCACAGATGCACATAAAGGTCACCACCCCCTGGTTGGTAGCAGTGAGGGGAGTGAGCTTTACTTTCTTGTCCTGCAGGCAGGATTCCTGGGTGAAAAATGTCTGAAGCAGCTTGGAATTGGGGGTAAGAGGTGGTGTTTAATTTTTGGTTTCTTGGTTTGTCTGTACCGGGCCTCATCCCAGATGACAGTTAAGGAAGGAAGGAAGGAAAGGGAAGGAAGGGAAAGAGCCGTAAAGAGGGAGGGAAGAATAAGAGGAACCCAGAGGAAAGGACACACGTGTCCTAAGGTCCACCAAAGTTTCTAAAGGGTGGCTATAGATTTGGGTCTCCGCTTCCAGCATAAAGGTAAAAAAGATCAATTATAAGATTCCTACTCTTCCTAAAAATAAAATGTGTTACTTTCTCAGAGAAGAGTTATTTTAATGGCCCTGAGATCTGAAATAAACTTCCCATGGGTTCTCTCACAGTGTTGGAGTGGACTGCACATCTCTGTAAGAGACACAAGAGGGACATCATAGTGGTGTCCCTATAGCTTCTTGCAGAGCAAGACCCCGGCAAAACAGCATGGTTCAATTCCATGGGAGTGCTGAAGGGAGGGGAGCTAGGTGAGGGAGGACAAAGGACTTAATGAAAAATTTGAGTAGCAAGGGACATTAAGCTATAATGTGGGTAGTGTGTCTATTGGGATGATTGGCATATATCCCATAAAAAGACTGTTCGCTTTTGCACCTTCCTGAGGTTATACCAGACTTTGGGTTTGTAGCCACATCCAAAAATCATTTGCTAAACATTTCTTAATATATGCAGCTAATATTTTAGGCCTTGTAGTAGACATTGGGGTTCCCAGGCACAATAAAATAAGATCTCATCCATGAAAGTATCGCGTCTGATGGGGGAGATTTAGGTATCTATAGATAATATCTTAAATTGACCCGTATCTGTAGTTGGTTGCTGATCTTACCCATTTTGTTAGGAAAAACCTCGTAATTAAAAATAAAAGTAATATATTTTCCTTCTTTCTTCCTTTCTTCTCCAAACCTCGTAGTATATTTTTTATTAGAGGAAATTTAGAAAATACATACAGAAAAAAATATATAAAAATATAAATATCATCCCTACCTAGCTACTGATAATCACTGTTTTCTCTCAGGTGTTATTTTTCTTCGTCAAATCCATTTCATTAAAAAAAAAATACAAACAGTTATCCTCAGACTGGTGTCTCAGTTTCAATTTTAAGTGTTTTGCTGTTGATTGGCTTTTTCCTACTGTTGCCTACGCTCTGCTTGAAAAATCACTTGTCACATTTTGACCTTTCCTTGCTTACTGATGTCTTTTTATAGGGTCACTTTTGGCCACTCTAGGTCTGTCATTGAAACTCCCCTCTCATTGTTAGATGTGCCACCAAGGTGCTCAGTCTGCTAAAAAATGTCATGTTTCATGGTCTTCAGCTCATTCTTCATGGGACCCTCCTACTTCTTTGGGACCGATGCGGCCTCTCTGGTTCTTGTCAGCCACCCTCCCAAGCCTTGCAGTTCAATTACGGTGAACTTGCCGAGCTTGTCAGAGTGTAGATGACACCTTGTGTTCTCACAAAAACTTTTTTTAAGAGGAGACTTTATTCTGAGACTTTATTCTGTGAAGATGGGCCAAAGGATATTGAGTGAGATTTGGACTAGAATCATCTCATTCTAAGCCGGTTTGATAACCCTCCACTGTAGTTGGAAGCCTGATGTGGCTTATTGATTTTGGTGGTGGAAGTAAAGCAGCATAAATATTTTATATGTCTTAGGAAAATAAATTCATGGGACTTTGAAGAAGTAAATGTCAGTATTTTGGGTTCTTTTGTATTTACAGTAAAAACATCATAAACTTCAAAGATGTCACCCATATGCTGCTTATATAACATTGTCGAGAGGAAAAAAGGGTTCATCTAAAATTATCTGAGCTTTTGTGTATTTTTTTCCCTCTGAATAAATGAATTAGTCAAAGGTGAGACTATGGGGTTGGCTGGAAATATGCATATGGATAGTGTCCTTCATAAACTTCATGCTCCATTTATTCGTGGTGGCAGAATAAAGTTTGGGAAGCATTTTGAAAATTCCAGAATGATGATGATGATGATGATGATGATTATAATAGTAATAATTAACATTTATTTGGCTGTAAGTGTCAGGTACTGTGTGAAGCACTTTATATTCTCCATCTCATTTAATTACTCTAACTTCCTTATGAGGTGGGTCCTAATATCCCCATTTTATGGGTGAAGTAAGCCATAGTGAGGTTAAGTAAACCACTTAAGGTCTCAGAGCTAGGAAGTGGTTGGTTTGACCTGGGAAGGGAACACAAGCTTTAAGTGGAAGTTATGCTTTTTGGGCA